ACCCTTGAGCAATGTTGAATCGAAAAGAGACCTGATCGCCCAAGCGTGTCACATCTCGCCTCCTATCAGGCATTGGGCCAGCACGGTGGGGTAATGGCCCATCCCTCCCCATGAATCCGAGAGAAAATCTACGTAAAGGACAATCTGTTTGCTTCTAAAATAAAAGAAGAATTTTTCATTCTTTGAGGATGATTTATTCTTTACGGACGCTTTATCATCTTCATAGCGTGTGTGCGGTGTGGTGGTTATCCACGCAGGATTGGTGTACCAGGTTCAAATTCCAGAGGCGACCGTTGCGTTCAATTTCACACAAATACCGCTGGAAAGATATGAATCCATCTTTTCCCGCCAAGGAGTTAATAGCAAGGCGGATTGAACTCTCTAGCCTTGTTTGGCAACCACTATAAAAGAAGGACAACTCTGAATTCAAAACTTGTTGCGCATGAGGATACTCCACCCCATAAAATATCCACCTCGTCAAAACCTACTTTCAGGATATACAGACAGGCATAACAATCTTATTTTTATATAAACCCATTAAGGAAAGATACCTTCTAGAAAGTAAGTAAAGCATTAAGATATAGAAAAACAGAATAGGATACTGAACTTCTATGTAATATCTAATTACCTATATGACCGTGAAGAATAGACTAGAAGCGACAGAGATGTGGTTCTACCGTCGAATGCTAAGAATACCATGGATGGAATATGTGATCTACAAGGAAGTCTTAAGGAAAACAGGAACTACAAGGAAAAGGTTGAATCAGAAGTTTTTTTTTCGTATTTCAAACTTTAATTAATAGTTCAAACAAATTGCACACGAAAAGCATTTATTTATCAAATTAGCGGGTGTAACAGCAAAATTGTCCAAATCGAGTAACAGCAAAAATGTCTAGGTGTTAGATTAAGATTTGAAACGTTATATCTTAGAAATGATTAAAGATATTCTTCGAGGTTTTTTTTATAACATTATTGGACTCTACTTTGAACAATAAGAATGTATTTAGCACTAAGTTGAAATAATGAATCCTCTTTTTGTTGTGACCTCCTGATCCAGTTTTCCTTTCTACTGTTCCCTCTTTTTTTAAAACTTATTCACCTTTCTCTTGAAAGTTCTTGAATGGACTTTGAAGATGGAACTATTACTGAAGACCTAAATGATCTTTTTCCTCTCACCATTTCTCGGTGGCGAATACAGTGGGGCTGACACAAATCGATTTTATTCTGTTCTTTTTCTAGTTCAATAACTCAAAATGTTTTTCAGTCATTCTTAGGACAAACGGTGTCAAGACAGCTAAACGCCTTATCTGAAAAACTGGAAAAAAAGAAACTCAATTAGTTTTGTTTTTTTGACATTAATAATTTTGTGGGATGGGCAATTATCCCATACTGTTACACGATTTGGACAATTTTGCTATTACACCTATTATAACCCGTTGCCATCGTTGTTCTTGAAGCTTATTCCACGCTGATACCATTTGGCTGGTTTAGAAGCAAAAACATTCCTACACACGTTTTCAACCTCATCAAAACCTCCATCCGTGAAGAAATTAGCCATCACTCGGAAACGATGGTAACGTGATGGTGCAAGGTTAGACTGTAGGCAGGTTTTGGCAGCACTTTCAGTCTTTGAAGTTTCTCAAGTTTGCGCTTGGTTCGATTCGCAGTGTATGCTAAGCCATTGTTATGTCGTAGGAGTGCGCGCGTCTTCGATTGGCCACTGCCGGGTGGAGGGATTCACAAGTATCATAAACTTGCTGCAGTTGTTGAGCATAAATATCAGCGTTCACAGTATAACCATTCGAGATAAATTCAAAGGGCAACATCCTTTAAAAATTTCACCAAACACACGGCATGACTTTCTGTTCAAACTGCCTTTGTTTGACAACAGGTTATGAAGCCTGGCCCGAAAAAAGCCACCGATTTGGTTTGGTTTGTTTTGTTTTACGGTATGTCACCCTCAATAGGTTATTTAAAGCCGACAAGATTTTTATTACTGGTAATATATTTTTCCAAAAAGTATTTCTGGCAATATTTTTTCAAAAAAGCATTGCTGGTAATATTTTTTTTCAAAAATGCATTGTGGGTAATATTTAAAAAAAAATGTATTACTGATAATATTTTTTTTCAAAAATATATTGCTGGTAATATTTTTTCAAAAATGTATTGCTGGTAATATTTTTTCAAAATGTATTGCTGGTTATATTTTTTTCAAAATCGCATTGCTGGTAATATAAAAAAAAATGTATTACTGGTAATTTTTTTTTCAAAAATGCATTGCTGGTAATATTTTTTTTAAAAGTGTATTTTTAAAAAATGCATTGCTGGTAATATTTTTTTTACAAAAATGTATTGCTGGTAATATTTTTTCAAAAAATGTATTACTGGTAATATTTTTTTCAAAAATGTATTACTGGTAATATTTTTTCAAAAATGTATTGCTGGTAATATATTTTTACAAAAATGTATTGCTGGGAATATCTTTTTCCAAAAAATTATTGCTAGTAATAATGTATTGCTGATGAAAATGTGTAATAAAACCTATTTTTTACACGTCTTGACTCCATTTTGGCGGTTAAATATTTGCCCATAGCTGGAATGTTAACAGACGCTACAACCTCGTGTCAGTGTAGGCCTGGGAACACCAGCAATGAAGAGGTGGTTCCAGCTCGTCAAATCTCCTGATCAGAGGCTTTTCTATCGGATCTAGTTTATCGTCTTACCCAGGACGTGCCACTGATTTCTTTTATTCGGATTACGAAAACAGATCCATTTTTCATCCCCCGGTTACAACTCGACTCCAAAAACGGACATCTTGAAGAACTACCAGCAGTTGTTTGTTTTATAGTTTTGAGTGGCGCCTTCTGTAACATGTCTGTCAGGCGTAGCCCTCTTCATCAGCTGGTTCAATCTGTTGTAATTGTCCCCCGCTTGCTCCACCGTTGGGGTCGTTGCGCCTGGTCATTAGTCAATTCACGAGAAACTTCTCGACAACGTCTGTTCACATAGCCGACTTTATGGAGGTGTTGATTGATGGTGCTTTGTAAAGGACCAAGTTCTGGCCATAATGTATGAGCGCTTGTGCTTGGCTGTTGTTAAAGCCTCATCGTCCACAACAGAAGGACACCCTGACCTTGCTTTGTCTTCGAGAGTGGTGTCTCCTTCCTTGAAACATCTGAACCAGTTTTGTGCTACACACTCGCTGACAATTCCTGAAACTTCAATATCATTAATTTATTTTGCCGCTGTCTGTTCACTCGATACCTTTTTTCCATGGCTCTAATTGCAATTTTTCACCACTCATTATTATATTAATTTTTATATGTTATATATGAATGTAAGGTCGAAGATGAGGACCCAGACTAAGCGTGACAAATCAATTGAACCAGTTGATGAAGAGGGCTACGCATGATGGATATGTTACAGTAAGCGCTACTCAAAATTATAAGAGTCAGCGGCAGTCCGTTGCAGTCTCATAACTGGATTTTGCCTGTCTCATTCAATGTGCCACAGAGGAAGCTCATGAAAGCAAGTGTGTGGGTCACTTCCTGGCAAGTAAGTCCACCTTGGCACTACTCTGATTTTCTTCCATCTTCAACTAATTCTTGCAAAGCCAAACAGTGATAGGGAATGGATGACAGGAGCCGGTTTTGGTGAAACTGGAAGCTTTTAGTCTTGAACTTGGATATGAGATAAAACCAACAATGAAGTGATCTTGTTACAATTCATGTAACTATATATATATATATATATATATATATATATTTAACCTTTAAAAACAAAACAGTAATCATATATATATATATATATATATATATATATATATATATGATTACTGTTTTGTTTTTAAAGGTTTGTTATTTTTGTGCATGTACTTTTTTTCATCACCATCAGTTCTTGTACTACAAAATATTCCCGTAAGAAACATTAACATTTAATTATTGAAGCAGCTAACCACTAAAGTGGTCATAATAATATATCATACATACCTCTGATGGTCGAACACAAAACCCCAGACTAAGCTCGACCAACCCCAGAGACCCAGCAGTGGAAGAGGTGGATGACAATTACAACAGATCTCAGTTGTTGAACGAATTGTCCTGTCATAACTGTTGCATGTTAAAAAAATGCAATGGTTGCAGAAAGCTAAGATTACAGTTAAATACTTCCAAGATATCATGTGAGATGATAACACAAACCGCTTATCCCTCTTGTCCCCATACCTCACACAACACACCCAGTCCCGTTACTTTTTAGACAGACCTGGAACGCAAAAGAAAATAAAAAATTAAGCCCGACTATTGAATGTGGCATTGTCAAAAAAAAAAAAAAAAAAAAAAAAAAAGGAAAAATGAGCAGAACTGCAAAAGAAAGACGAAGTTTTGCAGATTGGGCCAAGAGGAAAAATTGCTATAATAATGTTTGCCAACCCTTAACAGTCGTAGAAATAGAAATCGGAAGTAATGACTGGGTGTATAGACGCTAAAAGTATTTCTTAACAAATATGGTATCTGATTATATCATAAATCTGGACTTTTCAAATAAACTTCCATGGTGTTTAGATTCTGAACTTTTGGTAATATCAGCATAAAACCCCGCAGAACCATATAAAGAGGGAAACTTGAGTGGCAGTTACCATTTACACACGTATAATTATTTTGTTGATCAGCTCTTAAAGAAAATATATTTTCAGACAAGATACTCAATCGCCATAAAAACGGATTTATTATGAGAATCTGAACGGAACCAATTGAAATGCAAGACAGCTTTCAAAATCTCAATCTTCTGTGAAAATATTCTTCTCGGTGTTTGGTGAGATTCAAATATATGGTTCATGATAAATTGCTGGAAGAGGAAAAGCTAATTACTACGCGTGTCTTCGGTAAGCAACTAGCTCGTTTAAATGGCGAATGATTGTTCTGTATTAACTGCGATGCAACAAACACTCATCTAGTTGCTAAGTCCTTTCACATAAGATACATTAGTTAGACATCTCACCTTTAGATTATTACTTTTTCTGCGTAAAGCAGCATTCGTTGTCTGGACACGCATGTTGAAAACTGATGAAAAAAATGAAGGAAGAAAAAAGAAGGTAAGATAGACGGGAGAAAAGTAAAGAAAAGGAAAGAAGAAAAAATGGAAGAAAAATCAAGAAAGAAAGAAGGGATGAAGAAAGGAATGGAAAAAGAAAACGAAAGAAAGAAGTGAGAAAGGAATGAAGAAAGAAAAGAAGACAGGAAAGAAGGGTTATACGAAGTAAAGGGGAAAGGAAAAAGAAAGAAAGAAAGAAAGAAAGAAAAAGGAAAGGGATAAGGAAAGAATAGCAGGGAATATTCGAATAAGGGAATAGTCTAAAATATTAAATAAAGGTTAAGAGGAAAAGCGACTGAAACGAAATAAAGAAGCAAAAAGTTTAATAAAGAGAAAGAGAGAAAATAAAGAAAAGGAAGATAAAAGAAAAGGAGAAATCGAGAGGAAAAGAATGTAAAAAAAAGCAGAGAATGTGAAAGTGGAAAAGAAAGAAAGAAAAACTATAAGGAAAATTAAGAAAAATAATAAATATCTGACGAGCAAAATGAAGGAAAAAATTTAAAAAAGAAAGAAAAAGAAAGATGACTTAATAAAAACAGGAAGTCGAAAAAGAAAGGAAAAGAGAAAAAAGAAACTGAAAGAGAAAGTCTATTTAATATTCACAGACAGTTTTTATAGTTGCTATTCGTGTTTTGATTTTAGCGATTTCTTGACTAAACTTTACACCAGGGAAATGAATGAAGGCAGACGAGAATAAATCAGCTGAAAACCGTCTGTTGAGACGCATATTTTGAGAGGATAATTTTTACATGGCAGACTTCAAATCGAAACTGCGATTGATTAAAACGATTTGCTATATTTGAAATTAAACTGATAAGAATCATGAATTATTAGTAAAACATCTACTTAATTGACAAAAAAAAAAAAAAAAAAAAACCTTGTGGAAAAGGCTCAAAATAAAAAACGTAGTTCTATATTTGTAAAACTGAACGGTTCTGGATAATCTAAACAAGGAATTTAAAATAACCCAGTTTTATCAAATATTTACACGTTTTTTCCATTTTCATGAGTTTTTCCTGCACAGTCCATTAGTTCTGATTGGTTTCCTTTAGGTACCCCCAATAATTCGCTGCAAAAAGAGCATGTCTTGATGAAAAAAGCCCAAATGTAATAAAAACAGTGTTTTATCGTCAAAATGTTTCTGTCATTATTAAGAGGAAAGAACAAAGTATTTTTGATTATTTTAAATTTTTTTTTTACTTATTTCTAACACGTTCGAAATTTTTGTTAAAAACCTTGTTTTTTTATGCGCCTGTTTTACGGTAAAAATGACACATTAATTTGGAAATTTTGCAAAAATGAAATAACGGTCGGATTTTAATGGAACTTTCAGGATTAATTAAAAAATGAATTAAATTATTTTTGAAATTGTTACTTTTAGAAAGTCTTAGATATATATATATATATATATATATATATATATATATATATATATATATATATATATATATATATTAAGGCAGCAATTTTTCATTAATGCATGTTTCATTAAATAATATAGACAAGTTTTGTCTATTTATTTTAAGTAAGTTCCTTTCATATTGTCTGATAAGTTTAATCACATTATCGTTGAAAGACGAAAGGAAAACACCATATTGATACATGTTTAAATCCAATCTAAGCTTTCGGCTTAAACAAGCCATTATCAAATATGACAATTTCAATAAATTAAACAACAAAAGGACGAAACAACTATGATAGTCCGCCCTTGCTGCATGAAAATTTCCAACTAACGACAAACTTGTATATACGAGACCCGGAAGCGAAAATCGAGTCGCAGCTCATGACGTCACACATGACCACGTGAGAATGAAAACGAGAAGTATTAAGTATAGGAAGCCGTTGGTATAAACCAATGGCTTCTGTTATAAATTATAAGCATTTAAGGATATTTGGGGAGATTTCATAGTTTACTTTGTTCAGGTTAGATTTCAACTGTTTTATGTATAAAGCTTCAAGAATTTTTAATTTGTGTTTATTGTTTTCATGTTTAAGTATAGTTGTATTTTCAACGAGGATTTTCCGGAATTGTCTATGTGGTCAGACATGTTGTTTTAAATGTCTAAAAATCTTAGAGTTATCATTTATATGTAGAGTCAAGCGCCGTGAAATCGAGTTTGTGGTGTGACCAACATAAATATTATTTAATCCGTTGGAGATACAATCTCCCAAAGGGCACTTGAATTTGTAAACTATATATATATTTACATCTGTTAACCTTCACTTAATTTCATAAAATTTCTAGAAATTAAAATTGTCAAGCAAACGTTTTTGATTAATTAAAAGCAGGATTCTTTGGAGAATGTAAGTCACCATTTTTTTTTCAAACTTTTACCAAATTCCCTATAATCTGTTCCAAATCGTCAAATAAAAACTGCAATAAAACTAATTATTTAATTAGATAAGCCTTTAATTGCTTTTATAAATAATATTATAACATTATAGTCTGAAGAAAAAATCGATGAATAATGAACTTTTACAAGAATTGTTTGCAATTTTCTTTTTTTAATTATAATAATTTTTAAAGATTCAAAAATGCTTTTAAAATTCTTACAAACGATGTCAAAGTTAGGTTATTATGCTATTAAGTTAAGATTATATTTACTAAGTGAAAATTGAAATGCTTAATACAAATCATCGTACAAAAACTTGTAAAATAATTTAAAAGAATTTTTTGTGTGTGTAAATGTTCTTTTTTTAAGTATGGTGTTACATACGCGACATTATTGCTAACAAGTTACGTGATTCAAGGGTTGTCGTCCTTACGGAAACTTCCTTTCATATAAACCTTTTCGGCTGTGGGCAATTGTTTCATTTCACTTCCGACGACGGTTGAAGAGGCAACTGAAGACAAAAAATATCCCGAAAAGCCTTATAACTGCTATGCTTGGTAACAATTATGTTTTCATATAATATTGTTTGACGCACTAGATTAGGCTTAAATAAAATAAGTGTACAATTACGTAAGTATTAATAAAAATTAAGTACTTTAAAAATTTAATAAATAAAATAACTTTAACATTTCATAATAATCAGGATATAGCAATTAACAATAAAGAATAAAATGAAAAAATAAAATCTTAAAAATATAAATTAATAATAAATATCACAAAAATTTAAAATTATTGCGTTAGTTCTATCATTGCATTTTATTATATTATTTTAGTTAATGAATTAAAAAGTTAATCTAGTATAATAACTGAGATAATATAATGTTATTAATTAATATATTAATAAAGTTAATTAACATTATAATTAACATAATTATATTATCTTAATTAGTAAATTAAAATGTAATAAATGCTATAATATAATGATTTATAAATTTATTTATTATATTATCTCAGTTATTAAATTTTTAATTTAATAACTGAGATAATTAATAAAATATCATTATAGCGGTAACTCAATAATTTATGAAATGTTATCAACTTAAGAAAATTTTATAGTATTTTAAATTTTATTATATTATCAGAAAGCATCTTCAAACGTGATATTAAGTAACTGAAAACATCAGTATAATATTAAATAATTGCTTAAAATATTTTGTTAATTTTTAAAAATTACCTGATATTAAAAAAACAAAAACAAACCCTTTTTACTTAGAATTCGTAAATTAAGTCAATTCTGGTCCATCATACTAAACCTGTCAACATCTTAGGTCTGAGAATAACAAGACCCAGTGGTTAAGAAAAGCTTGTATACAACATTTTTATGCTATAAGTAATATTTATTTCAGAACAGATTGATTTAACATTAAATTTGCTAATTTTTCGTAAAAAAACATTTCAGAAATATATACTTTATTTTTGCAAACTTTTAAAGCTGAGAATTAACTTTTGTTTATAAATATGGACGTTTGAACGGGTTTTTCTGAAAAAAAATGAATCGTCTCAAAATTATTCTAATTTCTATTTGAAATACACCACAGCATTTTGCTTTCTGCAATTAGAAAATTTAATCTTTTTGTTTTCAATTAAAGCTAAATAGAAAGCTTCAAGAAAGATTTTTCATTTATGAAAATCCATTTAAAATTTAGGTATAGCGAATTATTGGGAGTATCTATACTAATTACTTAAATAATCTATCTATCTATTTTATTTTGGAAGAAGTCGTGCAAATGAAAAGGATTGTACTCACACAGAAGTGCCCCATACTTGTGGTCTTGAGCCAAACTCAGCTATGCTTATAAAATGATACAAAAAACCTTGCTCATTAGAAATTTAGAAATCTTTTTTAAAACACTTTCTAGATATTTAAATTTTTGCACTTGTTTCATTTTGATATTTCCGATTTGTAATTTGCGTGTTGGGCTGTTTCTTTTGTTGACAACCATACATTCTGCCTTCTTACAATTGATGTTTAGTCCTTTCTTCTAATTCTCCATTACTGCCTTCTGTAAGAGTTCCTGTAGATACCATTCTTTGTCTGCTATTAACACTGTCTCATCTGTATATCTAATATTTTTGGAGTCTGTGGCCGCTAATAATGGATCCTGGTGAGATTTAATTCTCTCAGGATTGCTTCAATGTAAAGGTTGAATAAGTCCGGTAAGACGACACATCCTTGTTTTCAGCCCAACTCCCTCACCTCAAATTAGCATTTCAAACACCAATTTTATGGGATAAAAATATATTTAAAAATAAAATAAAAACAGAGAGAGGTCTAAAGAGAGATAACCACTGATTCAAAGTCAGAACATTATTATTGATAACTCTCTCCTCCAATTTGCTGACCCTAGTTACTATATTCTTAATACTTGATATAAGGCAAAAATATCACAATGATAAAATCGGTCAATAATTATTTATAACTAGTTATACTGGGAATCATGCATGCAATTACAAATAATCCATAATAATATTTTTTAATTTTGAAATCTTATTTATTTTTGGCATATGAATGTTTTAAAACTGTTTCTAAATCTTTGATTGTCTTTCAATCATTCTGTCTCACCTGCTATCCTCTTCTGCCTCACCTGCTATCCTCTTCTGCCTCACCTAGTATCCTCTTCCGCCTCACCTACTATCCTCTTCTGCCTCACCTGCTATCCTCCCCCGCCTCACCGGCTATCCTCTTCCGCTTCACCCGCTATCCTCTCCCGCATCACCGGCTATCCTCTTCCGCCTCACCTGCTATCCTCTTCCGCCACACCCTTTTAGGAACTACTGGATTGTGAGTGATTATGAAATTTTAAGGAAAATAGAAGCAAAAAAGACGCTTATACTTAGCATCGGAAAGAGACAGTTGACATTTGTAAGGAACATAATGAGGAAAGTGGGCTTGAAGAATTTGGCACACACAAGACATATTGAAGACAAGAGAGGCAAAGGGAAACAGCGAGTAACCTACCTAACGAGATAGTGTAAATAGGTGGCAGAAGAGGGACTGGGATGGAGGGTGGTGAAAAGACCAACCATGCTCAGAGCCAAACAGGATAAGAAGTTGTGGAGAGCCATGATCCCTCACGTCATTAAAGAGTAGGCACATAGAAGACGAAGAATATAAATAAAGAGAAAAATTGTGTCGTTGCATATTTATCACCCACTCAAGTAGTTTGTGTTTGATTAAGGTGTTACGTCCAAATTTAGAATTGCTGATTTTCAAGGCAAGAATGTTCTCATCAGTTGGAAAACAAGCAGAACATGATCTTTCAACCCACATTTCTCTTTATTTAACGTATGGTTTGTAACAATAGACAGCCAATATCGTCTTCGTGTCTTAATCGCGTTATTACCATCACAATTTTCTACCGCTGCCATCATGGCGAGAACCAGCAAAGTCATTCCCGATGCCCTCGGGCTACCTCGCATCACTAAAATCCTCATATGTCAGTAGTTAACTTTTCAAAATCTCGAGTACACAGACTCAACCCTCGTCTACCTCACCCCCATAACCCATTTTTTTAAAACCCTGTCACATTAACCCCTAATTTTCATTTCCGCTTAAAACAGATTTCCTTTTTCGCTCCATACTGGACTTAAGGCGACTTTGGTTCAATCGCATTAAGTCGTGGCAAACCGTTGTCAGAATCGAGAAAAATTTCCGGACCGCTTGACCTTTCAAGAATTGAATGACCACGTGTCCGCATCGTGAGCTCCTCACATGAGTCTGGACAACGAGAAGAAGCAGGGTGGGGGCGAAAGAAGAAGAAGAAGAAGGAAGGAAGGAAGGAAGGAAGGAAGGAAGGAAGGAAGGAAGGAGTATGAAAGAATGAAGAAGAATTCTATTTTGTCGACGAGGAGAGGAAATACAATAAGGGGGTGTGGAGTAGGTCTACAAAGAAGTTCAGTGAGAAGCGGTAGCAGGTTTAGGAGAAAAAGGAAAGTCAGCTTTGGATGGGGCTGAGGTGAAGAAGAGAGCTGAGCATTGAATCATTCCACCTTCTTTGTTGGCCACACTTCCGCCATGTGCGTCCCGGGAATCACGTGGCGCCACGTGCTGGAAAATCGTACCCACAATGCACACACGATAGTACCGTTATCAATAAGAATCAAAGTGTGGAGGATTATGTGTAAGGTTTAGAGTAATTTGAACCAAGCTTCTACATAAACATTAAAAATTATTTATTCACACACACACACACACACACACACACACACATATATATATATTTTGGGGGGGATGACTCAGAAAATTTAAGATTTTCTGGGAGCGTCAAACGCAGTATTACTTACAAAATTAAACATCTTCCTCTTCAAAAAAGCTTTTTATTGCAAGTACTCGGACCGTCAAACTACGGCCTTTAGCAAACAGTACCGATCAGAAACAATGAATAAGCTGTGGGTAACATTATAACTACTGTACGTAAAAAAAATAACAAATATGGCGCCGAACCTTTCCGGTTGGCAAATGAAGGTTAAAGTAAAAAAAAAACAAACAAAAAAACAAAACAAAGCAAAAACAAAAGACAACACTATTTACATTATTCGGACTATTGTCTTCCTCTTGGTCGCTATATTTATTACAACGTTTCGGCCGTTGTACGCTCCGGTCTTTTTCAGGTGGTTGGAATGTCGAACTGAACCCTTTATTTCGCTCACTGGGGTAGACTGTTCAAGTTCCACGTGCCATGTTTAATGGATGTCAGTTGTCAGTCATCTCCTGTCAATTTCCCTCTCCAACTTCTCTCCAACTTCTCCACTGCCTTAACTATAAATATTAGACAGATAATATAGACAGACAAACAAACAAAAAATCAAACTCAGACTTGATCATGTGCATTCGAGGCAAAAGGGATGCGAGATCGATTTTTACCGCGTGTTTATTTTTATTTCAAGTTCGTGCCTTCGTAAAAAGTTCTGGGAGAATGCCCAGTCCAATGTAGCCCCCAGAGAATACCTATGAACTATCTTTATAAGAGTTAGATAAGAATAGAGTATTTTTGCTATATCTGGCTGGTTTAGTTAAATTGCTAGTCTTCTATAGATTCTAATAGTTTAGTTACATATTTTTCTTTTCTATTTACTAGATACAAATATAAAAATATTAAGCCATAATTTAAGCTATTTGAAGATTATTTCTTTCGGAAAGAATAAGTTACCTGAGTACTGATAATATTTAACAGCCCCCCTACACCGTGGGGTGTATGTGGCACAAGGCCGAGTTTACCGTGGGTTCTCTGAGCCCGTTGGCTCGGCCAAAAATATTCCCGTAGAACTCGCATAAATGGGTTCGGGTCTGTCTACCTCCCCGGACGAAACTTTGCCCTTCGTCAAAGCCTCGTCCGGATTCCTCTCTGGCCAAAGGAAGAGTTCGACAGCAGCTGCGAACAGTAACATCCCAGGAGAACAATCTATTCGATTGTCCCCCCTAACTGTTTACCTGAGTACTGATCAAAATCCTGAGTTCCTTAGATCAGTATTCTATGATATATGACCAAGCAAAATGTCCGCTTCACCTGTATTTATGAAGCTTAGCTTAGTAGGAAACAACTTTAAAAGTGAAAGAAATGTAAGTGGGAAGATTATATCTTCAATTGGGAAAGATCTGTTTATCTTACAAATCAGTATTCGATATCTAGGTTTTTTTCTTGGATTCGAACGTCGAATCTTTGTAATAGGTAGCAAATTCCTAACTATCTTTATCAGGAAACGGCCGTCAAATACATACAATTTATACGTGTACCGTCAAAAAATGGCGGCTGTGCTTAATGGTAACTTTAATGTTGAAATCAGCTTTTTCAATACAGGAAACATTAGCATTCATTGACTGAATAGTCAAAATTACCGGTGGTTGGAATTTACGAAATCTTTTTTTTATTAAAACAGTTTTCAGATTATTAAATTTCTCAAGTCCACTAAATATTATAGCTCTTTCTATTATTTCTGAGATCTTCCTTGCAAACCTTGTTTAAGGCAATGTGGAAAGTCAACACCATGTCTATATCATTATTTTTTACCCTTCTAGTTACATGTGCTATACATTTTTGCGGTTGAGAGTGGAAGTTTTCTAGTTATGTGATCTCTGTATTTGTTAAATCTCTTTGTGATTTTATAGTGTCAGTCTATAGAATCTAATGAAGGATTGTCTTCTTTAAAAGCCGAAAGAAATCATTCACTTGAAGCCTCGTTTAAAAAATATGTAGAAATCCACCAATGTAAGTAGTAAAAATAAGTCTACAAAAACTAAACCATAGATTTACATCCGCGTCCTGGGTAAACGATAAACTACATCCGCGTCCTGGGTAAGACGATAAAACATCCGCGTCCTGGGTAAGACGATAAACTACATACAAGACGATAAACTACATCCGCGTCCTGGGTAAGACGATAAACTCATCCGCGTCCTGGGTAAGACGATAAACTACATCCGCGTCCTGGGTAAGACGATAAACTACATCCGCGTCCTGGGTAAGACGATAAACTACATCCGCGTCCTGTAAGACGGTAAACCACATCCGCGTCCTGGGTAAGACGATAAACTACATCCGCGTCCTGGGTAAGACGATAAGACGATAAACTACATCCGCGTCCTGGGTAAGACGATAATACATCCGCGTCCTGGGTAAGACCGCTACATCCGCGTCCTGGGTAAGACGAAGTAAGACGATAAACCACATCCGCGTCCCTGGACGATAAACTACATCCGCGTCCTAAGACGATAAACACATCCGCGTCCTGGGTAAGACGATAAACTACATCCGCGTCCTGGGTAAGACGATAAACTACATCCGCGTCCTGGGTAAACGATAACTACATCCGCGTCCTGGGTAAACGATAAACTACATCCGCGTCCTGGGTAAGACGATAAACTACATCCGCGTCCTGGGTAAGACGATAAACTCATCCGCGTCCTGGGTAAGACGATAAACTACATCCGCGACGACGATGTAAGACGATAATCCGCGTCCTGGGTAAGACATACATCCGCGTCCTGGGTAAGACGATAAACACATCCGCGTCCTGGGTAAGACGATAAACCACATCCGCGTCCTGGGTAAGACGATAAACTACATCCGCGTCCTGGGTAAGACGATAAACCATCCGCGTCCTGGGTAAGACGATAAACTACATCCGCGTCCTAAGGGTAAGACGATAAACTACATCCGCGTCCTGGGTAAGACGATAAACTACATCCGCGTCCTGGGTAAAACGATAAACTACATCCGCGTCCTGGGTAAGACGATAAACTACATCCGCGTCCTGGGTAAGACGATAAACTACATCCGCGTCCTGGGTAAGACGATAAACTACATCCGCGTCCTGGGTAAGACGATAAACTACATCGTCCGCGTCCGCGTCCTGGGTAAGACGATAAACTACATCCGCGTCCTGGGTAAGACGATAAGCCACATCCGCGTCCTGGGTAAGACGATAAACCACATCCGCGTCCTGGGTAAGACGATAAACTACATCCGCGTCCGTCCATGGGTAAGACGATAAACCACATCCGCGTCCTGGGTAAGACGATAAACCACATCCGCGTCCTGGGTAAGACGATAAACTACATCCGCGTCCTGGGTAAGACGATACAGGAAATCCGACAGCAAGCCTCTGATTAGGAGGTTTTGAGAAACGTGGAACCACCTCTTAATTGCTGGTGTTCCCAGGTCCACCCTGACCCGGGGTGGTAGCACCTTCCAGGATCTCAGCTATGGGAAAATAGTTAACTCCTAAAAGGGGTCAAAACACCATGAAAGTATAAAAATAGGTTTTAATACCAGCAATACTTTTTTGGAAATTTTTTTACCAGCAGTACATTTTTGAAAAAAAAATACCAGCAATCAGCCAGTCAGTTATGTGCCAAGCGTGATACTCGCTTAGGCGATCATGCATCTTTCGATAGATGACTGACGAGGCAGATTTTTTTCTCGCAGTAATTTACCATTTCTTTCTACGGTTGACCAGTTGTCATTCTAGGCTATAAAACCCAGCCTGTCCAGCTATTTACCCATAGTTGGGACGAGAAGAAGAGTTTTTTTTTTTTTTACCTTTCCCAAAGGTATTAACACGTAAGTGAATGTAATGGATTCGACTGGAATTCGAACTCGACTCTCCGATTCCTCTATCCGAGCCGTTATCCATTACTCTCATTTACCAGCAATATATTTAAAAAAAAATTAGTAGCAATAAAAATCTTGTCGGTATAAAATAACCTATTGAGGTTGATATACCGTAAAACAAACCAAACGAAACCATAATAGAATATGCATTGGTTATATAATCTGCAGGAATAATCTAATGGCTTTTTTATGTACACGACTAATACTAAAGAAATTCTGATTTTAAAACATTCAGTCATTAAAACCGCTTTTTAAATTATTAAAATATTATAATAGCCAAAGAAAACTTACACAAAACAAAAGAAATAAAAAGCAACGTATTAGCAGCCTGATCTCCCCTATTTACTAAAAAGATATTCTGTTGTTATGGTAGCTGTAATATATTAACATGAAGCTTTATTTGACTAATTCAGCTTTAGCGCTGAAAAGCTTTATTTTATTATAGTGGATGGTTAGAAGCGAGAGGGGAGATGGGACGTGCTTATTTTATTACCTCTGTCGCACAAGTTATGTTAATTGTAAATATCACCTATTTATGTAACGTAGCCCAGGCTGCGTGACTGATAAATATATCAAATCACATTTTGTTTTTCTTCTAAATTAGTTTGGTATTAGTGATAGCACTCAATGTACTTGCTTTCAGTTTAACCACTATGCTATTACAGGCACCTGACATACTTTCACTTTGTCTAATAATAAGTATAACTAATCAACTCCCAATGAATATGGCAAATTGTCGTCTTCAAAGCAGGCAAATAGTTTTAGCCGACTTCAGTCTGACTAAATCTTTTTGACAATCAAAATGGTTCGGGGCAATTCAATGTCTTCACTGTTAAAATCTCTTTGATTCATACCGTCAAACGTGTTCGCTAGTTAACAATATATTTTAACATATATATATATATATATATATATATATATATATATATATATATATATATTGACATTTTTTAATGTTTATACGTTCTTTTTATAGATACAAATATTTAAGTAAATGCTCTGTTTATAATAAATAGTATTAACAACATTTACCGGCTTGAATGTCCGAGAAATTTTCATAGAAAATATGCGTCCTCCGACAGGAATCGAACCTGTATCATATGCGGAACCGTCATATAGCCTGACGTGCCTTAACCGATTTGGCCACAGAGGAGCGTTCGGTTAGCAAGGTCGATTTTACTGTTTTTAAACACAATTCTCCATGGTTTTATCTGATATACAAATGTAAACAAATGGCGTCAAACATTATGAAATGGAAAAAGTCTGACAATTAATTTAAAGACATTTTTATGTTTATACTTTGTCCATTTCATAATGTGTGACGTCATTTGTTTACATTTGGATATGCATTGAGCAGATATGAATGTATGAGAGAAAATCATGTAGAATTGTGTTTAAAAACAGTAAGATCGACCTTGCTAACCGAAACGCTCCTCTGTGGCCCAATCGGTGAAAGCACGTCAGTCTCTATGACGGTTCCGTATAAGATACAGGTTCGATTCCTGTCGGCGGACGCATATTTTCTATGAAAATTTCTCGGGCATAAAGGCTGGTAAATGTCGTTAATACTGTTTATTATAAACAGAGCATTTACTTAAATATTTGTATCTATAAAAAAAACATATAAACATAAAAAAAACCATCTTAAAATAATTGTCGGACTTTTCATAATATATATATATATATATATATATATATATATATATATATATATATATATATATATATATCGGTTGTGTTGACCAAAAAGACAAGCAGCCTTTGATTTTCTGCTATATTTTGGATGGTCATTTCTGATGTCTCCCCTTCTCTCTCACTAGGAGGAAAGAGATAAAAAAGAAGAGAAAGTTTCGTGACATGCGCATGGTGAGCGTATAGAATTCCTAGAAAGAAGAAAACGTGAAAGGGCAAAGGCTGTAATTTTGCAGATAGACATTCTATTAATAGGCGATTTTACTTTGTCAAATCCAATTTCAACATAGGAAAAAGGAAAAGAAACTAATTCTTAACGCCTGTGTTACCACGTGCTTTCCGATTATCTACCTTTTATCTGTTTTCGTATCGCGCAAAAGTCGCGTTATTTAATGGTTAGATTATTTTCTGTATATAACCGTCGAGTTTTATACATCAGTGTTCGCGTGTCTATCGCCATCTTATTTTCCATGGTCATTTCAGCCTCTTAAGAGTATAATCTATGGTGGCTTTGGGGTTAAAATAAGCAGTTGATTTACCCACGCCAAGAAGTTTACTGGAGAATATGTATAGCTAGGTACCTTCATGAGATCGCTAAAAAGAGTATAGCATGACGAAAAAGACGCCAAACTTGACAAAAACAAAACTTATCTAAATGTTTATGTTATTATTAAGAGGAAAGATCAAAGTATTTTGGGGGTATTTTTTTTTACATTTTTTAATCGTTCCTAGCACGTCCAAAATTTTTGTTAAAAATCTTGTTTTTTTAGTCAGCAAAATTGACAGTCATTTTTGCCAATTTATAAAAAAAATGAAATCTCAATTTGAAATTCTTTTAAAAATGATAATGTTTATTTAAAATATTTTGAACCAAGTTTAACTTAGTTTCTGCACTGAAAATACGTAGTTTGAAAATAAAACAAAGCAGGTCATAACCTTTCGCGTCACTTGACAGGTGACGAAAGGCATTCATGACGTTTTGATAGCTTACGTGAGGATAATTCCTTCTACGGAAGGAGAGAAGTGAAGTTATTTAGATTTAAGTGAACAAATTATTTTTAAGTTAAAGCTTTCAGCGCTCTAATTTTTTGTATTTTTTTTTGTACTTAGCTTTCACCTTTACGTTTACGATGCTTTATGGAAAATATATTATAAAGAAATTAAAATAAGACTGTTGAGAGTGAGATTAAATTTCATAAGAAAGGTATCTAATTAATTTATAGGTACCTTTCTTATTAAATTTATCAGAAGTGTACATAAAATACAAATTTAAATTTCATAAGATGATACTGATACTTGTAGGTACCATTCTCAGTTGAAATTGAAAAATCAAATTAACTTCTCCACACGTGTTTCGCAAAAATAAATCTCAAAAGGTCATTTACGAAACTGAATGCGGCTTTTAACTAATTTTATAATATTTTAAAAACTTAAACGTAAAAATCTATTATAATTAAAGATATAACAAATAATTATATTAAAAATTCAGTATTTAAATTAAATACTAGATAGAAACTCAATCCACGTGACGTTTTTCTTTATTGCACGCATGATACTTCCGGTCTTCTGTAGATTTGATTTACAGTGATTTGACTGACACAAAATATATATTTTTTTATATACTTTTGTTCGTTAGTTTGTAAGAAACTTTGGAAATTATAATCTGTAAATATATATCTACTTAATAACAACATTCGTTAAATTCTACAAACTTTTCCCTAATTTTAGAAGAATTAACAACATAATTCCCTAATTTTAGAAGAATTAACAACATAATGTAAAAATAATAAAATATTTCAGAAATAACAAATAATTGTTTTAAAAATTCATTTTCATCGAAATATCTTTTTTGCTTTCAGACAATATTGTCCATGTTCATTAAAATAAATAAAAGCAATTAAAAGCTTTTGAAATTAAATAATATTTTTGTTTTATTGAGTTTCGTATTCAGAGATGATTTTTGAAGAAGAGGTGGTCCAACTAAAAAAAAAAACAAAAAACAAAAAAAACATGATTTGGTTTCCCCAAAGCCTTTTCTTTTAACTAATATAATCACTAATCTTCTCAAAATTGAAATTATAGAGCTTTCGTACAATTAGTTAGGTGGGAGGGTAATACATATGAAAGAAATATTTTTGCCATGACTTTAAAAAAGGAAAACATATTTATAATAAGTTCCATCATTTTTGAATAGTTTCAGTAAGTTTCATTAAAATCCGACAATTATTTTTATTTTTGCAAGATTTTCAAAATTAATGTCAGTCATACAGAAAAAAACACGCTAAATTTGTCTATGTTATTTTACTAGTTCCGGTGATACAAAGAGAAACAAGGTTTTTTTAATCAAAATTTAGAATGTTCTAAAAAGAAAGATTTTTTTAAAAAAATAATTAAAAAAATACTTTGATCTTTTCTTTTAATAATAACATAAACATTTAGACGCTAAAATTTTGTTTTCGTCAAGTTTGGCGTCTGAAAAAGGCACAAAGGGCATGGGTCATCCCAAGCTTTACATAAGGCTAGAATATGTAAAGCTTGGGATGACCCATGCCCTTTGTGCCTCCATGAAAAATTGCACATTATTAAACTTCTAAATAATAATAATCTATTAAATAATAGACACGAGTTAACGGTTTTTTGTAGGCATCATCAGATTCTTGGTTTGAATTATTAGATAAAAAAATTTATATAACTTGTTTAACAAATAGCCCAATCATCAGATTCATAGTAGGAATAATTAACTAGAAACATGCATACAATATAACACACTTCATAATCCATAGCCTAAATTAGTAGTTTAAATACCTTACATATAAGATAACCCTTTATGAAGTCGTCAAAAAACAAACGTTACGAAAGTTTTTCTTTTTTATATGCACAATTCCCTTTCATAATAAAATAAAATAAAATAAAATAAATAAATAAATCTCCATAGACAAGCAAACTAGACGATGGCCAATACATCTTCCGTTTCATTTTTGACACCCCCACCTTTCCCCGACTTGACACCTTGAAAGTATCTCTATACCGCTACTTATTATAAACACCCTACACTCGCCTACCCAATTTAGACAATTCACCATAGCTGTTACCATGGGGATTTTGATTTCAATTTTAAAACAAGTAAATTTCAGATATACGTTATTCCAACAAAAATTTCGCTTGAAGATGGAACGGAGCCCATTTTACTTTCAACTCAATTTAATTTAAAGGATTATATTGAAGTTTTCGGCTCTTGTTTTGAAACATGAGACCTCTTATGTAGCGATTTGGAATCATATTTTTAAATAAATAATTATATATATAAATATATATATATATATATATATATGCATTGAATTATTATATATATATATATATATATATATATAAGATAATCCTAAGGAGCCAGGCAAACCTACATAGGTTTCACCTAAACGGATCTTCAGGGTACAGCTTGTTGTACCCTGAAGATCCGTTTAGGTGAAACGCTAAGGTAGGTTTGATTGGCTCCTTAGAATTAGCTTAGGTTTTGCTCCGCTTAGTGTATTGAGCAATTTACGTAGTTGTTTTTTTACTCGTTTTGTGTTTTTTTTGGGAGACTTGGAGCTTAAACACTTGACGATTGTTTTCGCCTTCGATTAATGTTCTTGGTTCTTTCTTTATTCCCCATTTTTCCTCGGGTACCGATTTGTTATATGGCAAGTTGAACTATCTGAGGTTTTTCCAAACGAGTCCTGCATATATATATATATATATATATATATATATATATATATATATATATATATATATATATATATATATATATCTCGTAAAATTGTGTTTTTAGGCAGCAATCCTTCTTTCATGCACATTTCATTGAAAACGACAGACAAGGTGCTTTTATTTAGTTTTTTATACAATTTCTCATGCGATCTAATAAAAGATTTTTCGAATGATAAATTATATAATGCACCACCTGGTTTACAGCCACATCTCGTTAAAACATCGGTTCTCGTATGATCGCCGAAGTTAAGCAACGCCGAGCCTAGTCAGTACCAAGATGGGTGACCGCTTAGGAAGACCAGCTGTTGTAATCTTGGATGTGCAGGTGGTGTAATGGACAATGGCTTTTCGAATTGTTATTCCGAGTTCCGTTCCCAGTCGTCTTCCTTATATTTATTTTGGCAAAGGCATAAATCAACCTCTACCCACCAGCTATGGGTTAATCAGTAAGACTTGTATCACTAAAACAATTATTATCTACCACCCAAAAAGTAACATAAAATTGTGTTCAAAATATTTTGATTTCGGCATTAAATAACCCATATGCCGCTAAACAAAAACAACCAACAATCAGCACCACCGTGGTGAGGCTGTGGACCTAGCGTACTTCACTGGGCATTTAAGAGGAGGAGGAGGAGGTATATATACGATATTTTCATATAACGATAAATAACTTATTACAAATGTAAGCACACGCACATACTATGTCCATGTTAAGTACATGCATACACATACACATACACAGAGAGGCACATAAACTTCTATATAAATAGGTTTGGTTTTGGTTTATGGCATTTCAATCTCAATGGATTATTTAATGCCGACATGATCTTTATTGCTGGTAATATTTTTTTCCAAAAATGTATTGCTGGTAATACACTTTTCCTCAAAAATGCATTGCTGGTAATATTTTTCCTTCAAAAATGTATTACTGGAAAATTTTTTCCTTCCAAAATATATTGCTGGTAATATCTTTTTCTTCAAAAATGTATTGCTGGCAATAATGTATTGCTGGTAATAATTTTTCCTTCAAAAATTTATTGCTGGTATTAAATATATTTTTACACTTTCATAGTGTTTAACCCTAGTTTGGGGGTTAACTATTTACCCATAACTGGGACCCTAACAAGTGCTACCATCCCGAGTCAGGGTGGACTTGGAAACACCAGCAATTAAGAGTTGGTTCCACGCTCCGCAAAACCTCCTGATCAGAGGCCTTAATGTTGGACGTAGTTTATTGTCTTACCGGGGACGCGGATGTAGTTTATTGTCTTACTCAGGACGCGGATGTAGTTTATTGTCTTACTCAGGACGCGGACGTAGTTTATTGTCTTACCCAGGACGCTGACGTAGTTTATCCTCTTACCCAGGACGCTGACGTAGTTTATTGTCTTACCCAGGACGCGGACGTAGTTTATCGTCTTACCCAGAACGCGGACGTAATTTATCGTTTTACCAAGGACGCGGACGTAGTTTATCGTCATACCCAGGACGCGGACGTAGTTTATCGTTTTATCCAGGACGCGGGCGTAGTTTATCGTCTTACCCAGGAGGCGAACGTAGTTTATCGTCTTACCCAGGACACTACATAAATAGGTGTATACATTTAGATACAAATATGAATTCACAAAAGCAGGTATGTATAACTTTACAAACATGTATAAATTTCCAATGAATCACGCACTAAAAATTTTGCTTTGCCTTCAAAATATAAAAAAAAGAAAAGATTTAAAAGGGGAAAAGCTGATATCCGAATATTTGATTTGCATATTCTTGTTCAATATTAGCCAATCAATTTCTTTTCTTCATTTTCATCACCCTCCCGTTTCCTGAAATTGAAAAATTCAGCAACACCTGGTCACAACCAATCGGCACATAATCCATCAAAATCCGAGGATTAATTACCCTAATCAATATCATTCAGTTTCGAGTTTCAATCATTGTTTTTATTATTTTTCTTAAATTCCAGAAGTGTGTTTTCGAGAAAGAAACCAAAAAGCTATTCGGATTTGATCAAATTCTTCATTCTAAGGATTGTAACCAGAATCGGACTTGAGCAGAAGCACTAAGGGAAGTGAAAGTCAACATGTTCAAAATATCTTCGGCAAGCATTGAAAATCATTTGCACAAACCTGAGTATGTTAGTCTTTTTGATGTCTAGCTTCCGTTGTCGATTCACCGGCATTAATTACTGGTTACCGAAAATCCTCTTTTCTTGAGTTTCAATGCAACTTATAAAGTAAACTTCCTAAAAATCATGAAGTTAAACAATAATTAAATTCAATGTCAAACCTTCAAACCTCAAAGAAATATTAATATTTAGCTGATAGAAAAGTTGGTTCTCTGTGCCGCACCAGAAGGTTTTTCTCGCTTGAGTCCAACCCTCAAATCTACAAATCTACCATTCACCCTAGCATTGAATACTGTCTGGTGCCTCCGCTGTTCACGAGGTCGACAAAATCCAGAAACGGATATGCAGTGTGATAGGTCCTAATCTGGCATCTCATCTACGGTCATTTTCTCACAGACGTGCTGAGGCTTCTCTCTGTCTTTTTTTCAAATATTTTCATGGCAACTGCTCTGACGAGCTACTTTCACTGGTACCCCAACTGCATGAATTTAAGCGTTGGCATCTTGGTCCCACACTTTTACTGTCGAAACTGTTAAATGTAACCGCTTCTTCTACTCTATCCGATTCTTCTCTCGCACTTCCCGACAGAGTAACTCCCTTCCTGTTACTTGCTTCCCTGATAGCTATAATCTTCAAATATTCAAATGTAATGTCAATCGACAGCTTTTGTTGCCTTGATCCTGATCCTCGTCCTTCTCTATATCCTTTCCTCAAAAAAGCCTCTTTACTCTTGCTTAAAAAAATGTCAGTCTTTTTGGTGTCTAGCTTCCGTTGTTGATTCACTGGCATTAATTACTGGCTACAAACAATTCTCATTTCTTGAGTTACAATATTAACTCTTAAAGTAAACTTCCTAAAAAATCATGAAGGTAAACAATTATTAAATTCAATGTCAATCCCTCAAACCTTTTGTAGAAATATTAATATTTAGCTGAATGATTTGTGGATGTCAAGGAGTTTTCTCAAACAAGAGAGTAAGAATAAATATACAAACAATTATGTAGAATTAAGAACATCTTTTATTGCCTGAGCAAAACTAAAGAAATTAGAAAGAATACAAAAAGAAATGCATAAAGTTGCATATGTAAAGATACCAATCTCCTAATCTACATAAACGTCTGAAACCTCTTCTAACTCGGGCCACAATTGCTCTACGTAGACATATTTTAGTTTTTTGGATTCAGGAGGATCCCGGGATTGTAAATCAGCCATCCATCTGGTGCTTGAGTATCCAGCATTGGGATTTTTGCCCAGATGGGGAGGGGGTAGTTAAAAATTCAAATTTTGAAATAACTAAAAAAAATAGTGATTTTAAAAGTTTTTAATTTATAGTGAGTTTAAAGTAGCACAGAAACTTTGCGAATTTAAAAAAAATTGTTTTAATTTCAGCTTAAAATATCTCCAAAACTTTGTGAATTGAGGAAATCAATTTTATTTCTTCAAAATGCCAAGGAATTAAAAGTAAAGTGGGAGGTTTCGTAACGTAAGATTTAGAAGTTCCATAGAGTTTGTGATTTGAAGAACTCAACTCAGTTAAAGTTCCACGGCGTTTGTGATTTGAAGAACTCACTTTTCGACCTGAATCGGAGTTTCAGGTCAAATCGGAGTTACGGACCAAATCGGAGTTTCGGACCAAATCGGAGTTTCGGTCAAATTCAGAGTTTCGGGCCAAATCGGAGTTATGGACAAAATCGGAGTTTCAGGCCAAATCGGAATTACGGACAAAATCGGGGTTTCGGGCGAAATCAGAGTTTCGACCTGAATCAGAGTTTCAGACTAAATCGGAGTTTCGGACAAAATCGGAGTTTCGGGCCAAATCGGTCTTTTGTCCGGAATTGGGCTTATAGCTCGAATCAGAGTGAAAGTGAGGCTGTGAAGTTTCATGCAGTCAATTGAGAAATTCAAAGTTATTTCTTCAAAATGATCATTACTACTTTTTAAGCTGGACCAGAGGTTTCATTAGTTTTGTGACGGAGGCCCAATTAACCCTCTACAGGAGTAAGCTTAAAAGTCTGCACATAGTGTCAGAGTTCCATGTTTATTAAACTTATATAAAGAAATTCTCGGTAGAACGTTTATTTGAGCCATCGCATTTATTTTATAAGTTAAAAAAATTCCCACTGGCATGACTCTTCCAGCCAACACATGTATTTGATACAAAATTGAATATAAGAATGATTAACAATAAAAATAAATATCCACACATAAGCCTTACTATATTATACGCCAAGTTTATTTATTTCTTTTGCACTGGCGACATCTAGTGGCAGTGTCAGGAAAGATGAAATTTTTTTCAAAGCTACACAAAATTAACCGATTTTAAATTTAACTGAAATAAATAAATATGTCTTCAAATTTACATAATAATTTAATATAATTTGAAATTATTTTTTTAACCAGTTCACCCCAAACAAAACGATAGTGCCACTAAAATGCAAGGGGCTATTGGAAGTGAAAGAGAATGAAAAGACTTTAGAAAGAACCGGAAACTCAATCCAAAACAGGGAAAAAGAGGTAAACCTCTAGTTCTGTTCAAAAGACCTGGGAAGGGTGTGAACCGTTCGATAGGTGAAGCTATCTATTTTTATTGAGAAGAAAACAAATAAATGGTAAATAAAATTTTCAGTGTTTATGCGGAGACGTTAGAAGCATAGAGTTGAAGTTTTTGTTTTCTTCTAAAGATTCACGATACCTAAGATTTAAAATGAAACATTAAAAAATCTCTCTTGACATTTTTATTTTAGTTTCAATTTCAAGCTAATACGTTAAATTTAATATTTCTAATAAGCAAAAAACTTTGCTGCATTTCAAAAGTAATTTAAATTAACAGGGAATTGTTTTTGTTTTTAAAATTGCTGATGTTAGAGACATTTTAGCCATCTTTTTTGCAATGTAAAAGTAAAAGTAAAATACACTTTTCTGAAACTTTATTTGAGGAATATTAGCTGGTTTAAATTTTAATTAATCTGATTTGAAACTAATATTACATACTTTTCTTTTAAAATATCACAGAAATGCATTTTTTAACACTGCGGTAGCCGTTTATTTACAAAAATCGGTATGTTTATACAAACACACACAAAAAAAACTCTTTTTAAAATAATGGGGTCACTAAATTGTAGTAAGCTTTTCCATTCAAGTAAATATAATTTTTAGTTCATTATCTACATTATTCGGACTATTATCCTCATCATTGTCGCCATATTTATCACAACGTTTTGGCCGTTGTACGCTCCGGCCTTCTTCAGGTGGTTGGAATTTCGAACTGAACCCTTTATTTCGCTCACTGGGCTACACTGTTCTAGTTCCACGTGCCATGTTTGATGGATGTCAATTATCTGCCTTAACCGGGTATTGAACTCACACTCTTTGGGTCCTGTCACTGGATTTAACCAACACCTTTATCCACTGTGCCATGAGGACATCTGGGTATGAATTTCTGGGTATTATAAACCTAATGTCTTCAGCAACCATTTTTACCATTGCAATTTTGCTGTTATCATTACATGTTTTTACCAGAGCTCATATTGCAACTTTTTGTTGTTATCATTGCTTTTCTCTGGCACTCCTTATTACTGGTTCCCATATTGTTTTCATTTCTATGCTTTGTCGGCTCAGGAGATTTTTGTGGCCTAGCATATGTGCTGATTCCTTAAGTTTACGTATTTTCCAATGATGTTCCTTGTCTATGATCTCAACATGATCCCACAGAGGGCGGTGATCTCCCTTCTCTCTCCATACAGACAGACTCTAATTTTTAGTTAATAGCAATATCACCTAACTGCTTCAAATTAATACAGGCTTCTAAGAGATTTAAAAGTCTATAAATTATTGTAATTAAAATTTAAAAAATGCTTCTAAATAGGAATTATACATCGAATTTTTTTTTCTTAATGAAATAGTATCCCTAATATATCTTATTCATAAAAGCAATTAAAACCTTTTCTATAAAATAATGCTTTAGCTTTATTGCATTTTTTATTTTACGATTTAGAGCAGATTTTTTGTAACTGGAGGTTCAGTTTTACAAAAAAAAAAAAAAAAAAAAAAAAAAATTCATGATTTAAATTCTCCAAGGACAATATAAGTAAACATTAAGCGCTACAAAAATAAATTACTCGAAATTTCATAAAATTAATTAAGTGGGTAACGGCTGTAAAAAATATTTTTTACCAAGATTCTCTAAAAAAGAAAAATTTATGAAATAAATTCATTCACGTGTGAATAGTTCTTGAAAGTTTCATTAAAATCTGACAATTATTTGATTTTTGCAAGAATTTCCAAATCAATGTGTTTTTTACTGCAAAAAAAAGATGCTATAATTTCCCATACTAATTTATGATCACCAGCTGACGCAAGAAAAATGAAATTTTAAAGCAACATTTTGAAATTTCTTAAAAGGATTTTAAAAATAAAATTTAATAATCAAAAAACCCTTTGGTCTTTCCTCTTAATAACAACATAAAGTTTTTGACGATAAAAATCTTTAAATTTGGGACATTTCTTTCTTCCTGTAGGCTCATCTTTTTCTTTCTTCCTGTAGGCTCATCTTTTAGCGATTCTTTGGAGGTACCTATTTATATATGAATTTATTATTATTATTTCTTTCAATTTTTTCACAGTTACAGTGTTTTTCTGTAATAGTACAGCCGGCCACTCGCATTCGAGGATCTCCGTCTACTGGGGCGGCTAGCCAATCCCTATTGCAGACGCTTGCTCAGGCACATTTGTGTTTATTCAACACTCACAAAGCCCACCTATGGTTTATACTGTAATTATGCTGAGCAGAACTTAGTTACAGTTTCTGGGAGAGAGCTTGTTATCTTTCGAGCAGCACACTCACGAAATGGCGCTGGGGTACAAATATACGAAGCCAATTTTGTTCGAAATGACCGATTTGGTCCGAAACTCTGATTTGGCTCGAAACTCCGATTTGGTCCGAAACTCTGATTTGGCCCGAAACTCCGATTTGGCCTGAAACTCCGATTTGGTCCGAAACTTCGATTTGGCCCGAAACTCCCATTTGGTCCGAAACTTCGATTTGGTCCGAAACTCCCATTTGGCCCGAAACTCCCATTTGGTCCGAAACTTCGATTTGATCCGAAACTCCGATTTGGCCCGAAACTCCGATTTGGTCCGAAACTCCGATTTGGTACGAAACTCCGATTTGGCCCGAAACTCCCATTTGGTCCGAAACTTCGATTTGGCCTGAAACTCCGATTCAGGCCGAAATGTGAGTTCTTCAAATTGTTCATAGTGTAGATCTCGCTAGAGATCAACAATATGAACAAAGACAAAATATTGAAGCCATCAGCCACGATGACATGTGATTTCGTGCTAGCAGTGCTATCGACAGCCCTCAAGGGTTCCGTCTACCCAATTTCACTCACAAGGCTTGGGTCAACCCGTGGTATTGTTTTTAGGTCATTTTAAAAAGGTGCCGCACGCTGAGATCGACCTCTCCAGTCCGATAACCTCATGAAGTCATCCTGAGATTCGAACCCGGCTCTCATGGTCAGAATCCGAATGTTCCAACCACTTGGCTACGTGAATATTCTCTAATAGTATTTATTTGTATTTGTACTTTTGTCTTATTGTTACTTATTGTTTTTGATTGCCGAAAGTTATATTTATCATCTTTGCATTTTCTACTCTCGTTAATTCTTTTTTTTTTGTCAATGAATAGTTTAGATGTTAGTATTGTTAAAAAGGTAGTATAGATTATTTTTATTTTATGATTATTTTTTATTTTATTTCAATATATTTTATTTTTACTTATGATTTTTAATCATTTCACAGAGGTCCAGATAGCTGAGAGAATGATGGACGTGGGCCGGATAACCATTTTGTTCAATAAAATACACTGAAAACACAAAAAATAAATACAACAAACATATTTATTTATCAAAAAGTTATAAAAGAAGACGACCATAGCAATAAAATAGTTATATCACACTCAGTGCACACATATCCGAATCTCACAAACTAAGCAGCAAAAAAAGTTTAGTGAGATTTGTGAAACTGGCGTTTACCTTTAAAGATAAAATCAATATTTGCTTTGGAATTGCTGCATCCAACCAATAGTCATCAGTCAACCTCGTTCGATTTGCTGACTTTACATACTTCATTTTTGAAAATATTTGCTCACAAACATAAGTTGTTTCAAACACTATTGCCATACAAGTACATTATTTATATTCCAATGGTTTTCATGGTCGGAGGTGGTAGTGGAAACACGCTCCCACTGTCTATAAAATGCTCCAATGTCATGCGTCTTAAATATCGTCTGACAACTAAGTCCAGCTCAATGACGAAGAAGGGGCGAAGGCGGACCACTGGCGCCTCGTAACCAGCTGTTTCGGGTAGATGTAGCCCCGAAGGTGTTTGAGTATCAACTCTAGCAATTATCTGTAAGCTCTTGCAGCCAAGCCGTCTCCAAATCTAGTGACCTGTGTTCCTTTGGATCTTGTCGGTAAGGCCGAGAGTGGGGTGATGTGGTCAAAGAAGCGTCCAGGTCCGCTCTCAGGAGAAGTTGTAGAGACTGCTATATTTTTCCACGTCAACATTTTATTCGTCTGCGATTGGCTAATAAATCAATATTGCTTTTCTATAGGACAATTTAGCCATCGCAGTCGTTGCTTTGAATTTTTCGGTTTTGAACTTGCTTACTTGTTTCGTTAGTACACATTTAGCGATTGGTCAAATTTTAACCAATCACATATTTTAGTGCAAAATCAACTTTTCCCGCGGTTTCGCTGGGAGCCTATCTGTAGCTTTAAAAGAGACGACATTTTCACAAGCCGCCAGTAGAGTCCACTAAATTTCGCCTGTCAACACAAACCTATGACTTTACTCACAACATTTCAAACGCACACACAGACAGATTTTTGTAATATATATATATATATATATATATATATATATGATATCAGCTCAAGTTCAATCAACCAGGACTCGTTGATTTCTCTAACACAACACACTTTCTGATCAATTGTATTCTTGTGTTATCTATTCTTACAGCAGACTTGTTCTAACATTGATTCCTGAACATTTCTCTCTAAAGAGAACTTTCTTTCAAACAATCAATTACAAATCAAAATACAGTAAAAGGGAAGCAACTTCTTTTCCCTTAATCTATACATTGAATACAAATTATTGTATATTTTTTCTTGTATGTTATTTCAATATATACTTGTTGATTCACAT